TGCAATTGCCACAACAGAAATCCCTACCGTCCGTCGACCCAGAGATGCATGACGAGATTCCATTGGCCAAGAGAGGTTTTCTTCGCAAGATTATGAGTTCCGTACAGAGAGGCCGGATTTTTAATAGTTGTCAGTTAACTTACATCGGCTCGCCGGGCGCGGAATTTTACAATTTTGGGCGCCGGTGGCCGGTGGTCGTAGCAACTCCGAATGTCAATTGGACCGGGAATCGACAAAAACCACTTATAAGACTATAATGGTCAACCTGGTTAAAATATAAAATACACCATATGTATAATAATTTTATAAAAACAAACTAATTAAAGACTTAATTAAAGTAATGATATCCACCATTCATAATTAATTAGTCATAATACATACATAGAAATTACAAATAATGTTCCAAGTGGAGATTTTTTTGGATTAGATTTAAGTAGGTGCAAGTGGTTGAGAGTAGGTGTGGAAGAAGATGAGTGATTTCTATTTTAATTTGGTTTTATTCCGTTTGTGTTTTTCTGTCGAATTGTATGTTGTTTGATCCTGTTTTGGTATTTGCTTTTTTGTTTATTTTCCAGTTTGTAAGACGTTGATTTTGGATATGGGGGGTGAGAGGAATATGGTAACTGTTAATGGCTTTTTGTTTCCCGGTTATGGATCAGTGAATTTTATTGCTACGGCGATTAATTCCGAGTCTGGTTCGAGGGATAACGGTTATCAGTTTTCTTTTGTCAGTTGACCCATACTCTAAATTATTGGTTATTAATCTAAGCCGAATTCAGTCAAAAAATGTATTATAATTAAATTTTTAAAAAAAAATTGTTAAATTCCCCTCACTTTAAATTCTCAAAATCTATTTGTATTTTTACTAATAATGAATGAAAGATATTAGTGGTCAAACTTGTGTGTTAGCAAACGTGAAAAGTGGACCGTTGCATTTAAAAAAGAACGGAGGAAGTATGTATATTTTGCATAGTATTGCATGGAATATGACATTTAAATGCTAAGACTTGATATATGATGATTAAATGCTAAGGTTTGGATCAGTCGTTAGTAATAATATGATATAGATCTTATCTAAGTATGATATGTGGTAGATCATAGGAAATGGTGGAGTACCAAGGGACTGGACTTTCCTCAAAACTTGGTATATAATTGGCGGAGTGCCCAGGGACTGGACTGTCCTCAAAACTCAGAATATAATTGGTGGAGAATCTAGGGATTGGACTGTCATCAAAACTAGGAATGTAATTGGTGGAGTACCTAATGAATGGATTGTGCTCAAAACTCATAAACTACAGTTTAGTAACATAGGACCGAGCGTTGTCCTTAGGGTGTTTGTTTGAACAAAAAAGAGTCCTATACACTCATGAGTATTTGAGTGGGTTTGGATTTTTATATGTCAAGGATTATGACTAATATGACTACCCAAATAAACAATGACCTACGGGTCGTGTATTTTCCATGTGTATGTATCACCCTATGTTTGAGTCTTATATTTGAAATGTTAGTTATTCTACATTTAGCCTGCTTCTCGCCAGTACAAGTTATATTGAACCCTTCGGGGGCCCTACCATTTTCAAGTTGAAGCTAGGGCTTGCTACTTGCACCTTCGTACAAGTGAAGTCAACGCAAGGAAGACATGATTTGTGCTTCTTTATTTCTTTTCAAAACTACAAACACTTGCTCATGGATATTTGAATTACTATAAACTATTTTTGGCCTGCGAGCCCATGTTTTGGTTGGATGTGGCTAGGGCTGAGCACGGGTCGGGTTCGGGCGGGTCGGGTTCAGGCGGGTCGGGTTCGGGCAGGTCGGGTCTGCGTACCCTAAACCCGTTCGGGTTTTTTAAGTTAAATACTAGGTCCGACCCTTTGATATTTCAAATCGGGTTTTTCGGATATTTGTAAGTTGGATATTATCGGATATCAGATCGGGTTTCGGATATTTCGGTTATATTAAAAAAAATATAATTGGATAATTAAAGTGTTTGAATGCCACTTTGACTAAAATTCTACAAACAAGTGCACTAAACATTCAAATTACGCAAATAATTTAATACAAATTGCATAAATAATTACACAAATAATTAAACACAAGTATTAATTTAACATATTCAAAGTACACACTAAATTATTTAATATATTTTGGATATTCGGGCGGGTCGGGTTGGGATTATACAAACCCTACCCGCCACCCGATATAGGCCCAATACAAATCGGATTTTCGGTTTCGAGTTTTTCGGATCGGATATCCATTTCGGTTCGGATAATATCCGAAAAAACTTCGGGTTTTGCGGGTCGGTTCGGATTTTGCTCAGCCCTAGATGTGGCCCAATGCCATTGATTTACCGTTGAATATTTCCGCTATTCATTGATTTAAATGTGATGTTGTTATGCATGTTTACTTACTTAATATGGTATGAACTATGGTCATGGACGTCTTGTATAGTTAAATGAGGTTGACTTGCGGGTGACGTCACTTGACTATGCGACGGTTGTACACACGCTTAGATGCGACCTGGGGCGTGACATCCACTTCGACGATGAGGGACATCAATGAGATACGACCAACTCTGTAACCCGCAAACCGTTAGCAACGTTATCTCGACTAAAGAGGGCTCTTCAACAATATATGAAGAGGAAGATGATATAGACTATGAATAATTTTCTAGCGATGATGATACAACTATAAATTCTAACGATAGTGATGACGCTCATGACACTACACGGGTTACTATTGAACCAGCAAATCGTGAATCTAAAACTATTACGGTAGGCGCAATATACAATTCATATGACTTAATGAAGGAAGCCATATCAAAAGAAAAATATTCGACAATTCCAAATTTTACAGACACACAATAAACGTGCCAGGTCATGGAAGGCAGTATGCATCTATGATGACACATGTACGTGACACATTCAAGCGAGAGAACTTCTGAACTCCAATTTGTGGAAGGTGAAAATTCTCAACCACTACACAAACTGCAGACCAAATTATATATGAGCCCGTGATGACAAACTGCTGACAATACTCACTTGTATGGAAAGTTCAAGGGTCATCTCCTCATTGCAATCACCATGAATGCTAACCGTGTGATTCCCCCCTCGCATACACAGTCATAGAAAGTGAGAACACTGGTAGTTGGTTTTGGTTTTGGAATGCGTTATGAGTTGTGTTGTCTGACGAAATCGACATGTATGCTTAATATCATATCGTCATCACGACATCGAAAATGCCTATCGATTAGTACCTCAATTGAAAACCTTCCGAATTTCATAGTGGTACTGCCTCCGACACATTAGGAGCAATTTCATGACAAAATTCAAGAGCACGGAACAGAAAAAGCACTGTTGGTTGGCCAGGAGTACACCCATAGTGAGTGGATTTTACCAAACTATGGCTCAAATTCGCGCCACGAATGAGATGGTGTATGCGTGTTTGAACAAAATTCCATATGAAAAATGGGCACTGTGCGTCGACGATGGACGCCGTCACGGCATCCTCACGACAAATCTTTAATTTCCGAGAGCTTCAATAATAATAATAATAATAATAATAATAATAATGTCCTAAAGGGATACCGGACACTTCCAATCACCTCACTTGTCATGGTAACTCATGACAAAGTCGTCCAACTATTTGGCAACCAACATACGACCGGTCAGATGTGGCTGTAAGATGGATTCCTCTATGGTCTATCCAAAAAATATATGGAAGAGGTTCTTGGACGTTCGCAGCGAAAGCTATATGTGGCTCTATCTGTGACTATCCACTGGTAACGATATCGACGGAATATTTGGAAAAAGGTTCTTGAACGTTCGCATTGAAAGCGGTTCTTCTACCTTTAAGTACTATTACAATATTGATGGTCAAATACACGACGTATATTTATTTATGAAAATTGCCAAACTTTTTCTAGTTGAAATCACAATGTAAAATTAAAAAAAAAATTGTATCTTTTTTTTTAATACACTTTTAAAATTACAATGTGAGCACCTATCACATGTTGATTTGTTGTTAATTGTTACATGAGTAACCAATCATCAAGTGGCAGGGGCGGACCCAGAAAATTCATGTTGGGCGGTTCAAAATATTTTTTAAGGGTGAAAATTATTTTTTGAGGGGGCGGAAATTATTTTTCTTATATATTTACACTAAAAATAAATTTTGTTGGAGGGGCGGTAACCCTCCTGGGTCTGTACTACGGTCCGCCCCTGTCAAGTGGTCAAAGTTCTTATTGACTTATTGTGAATGATGAGGGAAGAACAAATAATGAAACTGACAATGTTGTGTATAAAGAAGCGTTCTTTATATCTTTTGTTCAAAGATTGCAAGTGGTTCGCAATTTCAGTTAGTAATTGACCTGATTTTACATCAATGTTATATCAACCCTTTATTAAATACGTAGTACTCCGTACATACTACTAAATACATACTATTAATAAATAATACTCCGTAAATAGTATAGTTAATGTGCAGCTACAATTAACATTTATTTCATTTTATTCGTAACTCATGTCTAGTCTCAATTGTAGTGGAACTATTTGCAAACATAAATGAAGTGAACTAATCCCGATGGACTTTGCCAAGTGAGAAATAAGAATAGTAAAAAATTATGTGATTGAGATTTGTGCAGAGGAGAGAGAAATGTGCAGAACCACAAATTAGTTGTTTTAATGAGAAAGTGACAAATTTTTTGGTACAACCAAAAAGGGAAACTTGATAACGTTCAATGAGATGGAGGGAGTATTTCTGCGTAAAATTTTCAAATAGTTATTTGACTTATTTCCTTTATTCAGGATGAAATCCTGACCACAAACCACAATTAGGTGGCAGGAACCAGGAAGAAATGAAGAATCATATGGACTGCATTTGACAACTTATGATGTCTACGTGGAAGAATACTATACTCTGATGCCATCATATTCAGCCCAAGTTTCCCATGTGGAAAAATATTTATGTGTTGTTTACTGTACGGCCTGTATTTCTGCCAAATACGAGGAGTGAACCGTACCAGTTTGCACATGTATTCACTATGTGTATCTGAATATAACTCATATAAACAGGCCACGCGCGCAGATTCCCCTGACACTCTGTCTCTCTCTCTCCCCTCCTCTCTGTCTCTCTCGTCTTCATCGACGATCGATTCCAGCCGATAACCAGTCAATTATCGCCGTTCGCCATGGCAGCGGTGATCGAATCCGCTTGGTCGGTAAGTTTTCCACGTTTTATTAGCGGATGACATGCTTTTGCGCCTCTTCAATGCCAGATTTTCAGCATTGCTTCACGTTGATCTATTCAATTTGTTGATTTGCCGCATTGTTTCTATTGCTCACTCTTTGTGGCTCCGGTTTTCCGTTTCTTTCTTCCTTCCATGCTATAATTCTTGTTCTTGAAAAGAAATCTCAATAACTTTGGGATTGAGGCTGGCTTATGCTTTTTTAAAGCAAATGTGCAATCATTTTGAGTGGCTGAGCTTTGGACCCGTGACCCACTTTCATATTTGATAACTTTCCTTTGCTTTTAATCTATATTGGCCTATGGGGTGCTCACCTGCCCTGTGGATTGCCAATTGAGCAGATTAGTACTCTATTCATCTAATTTTCCTAATGAAAATTGCTTTCCCATTATAAAAGAATTTGTCTTTCATACTGAGAAAACAAGTTCTATTGTGTTTTTTTGAGCTGGCATGCCCAGTTTCTCTTCATTAACCGAGGGTGGTTGTTGTATTACTCATTTATGATGCCATGTCAAGTATTCAAGTGATGGTGTGGTTAATCAATGTTTGCATGTTCCCTTTTTATTCATTTATTATGAGACCACCATCATTATTCACAGTGGCCTGTCAATATGTTTTTAGCATAGAAATGCCAGTTGCATGCTGCAGATTAAACTGACAAAGATGGTAATGAAACCTTGGGATTAGATCCAAAGTTTTAAAATTGGACTGGAATTTAGAGGGATATTCAGCATTGCAATAAGAGATACAGTTTTAGGTTCCATGTCGTGGAACTTCAGAGCTTTGCATTGAAATATAATTGTTGTGTGTTTGCATATCAAAATTCATAATATGCCTAGACACTTCATCTCAAACAAACCACACTAGCAGAGGATTTAATAACTGTTTGATGTAAAATGATAACATCATTTGAAAATATTGAACTGCACACTTCGATAAATTCATAACAAGAAAGATAAACTTTCTAACTAATAAGATAGTGAAAATGTCTAAGTTCTGATTCACTGGTTCAGCAAGTAACACATAACAGAGGTAACACTGTGTATGTCCATGCATCATGATAGTGTGACACAGCAGCCTGCCAGCATGCGTGTGGGTGGCCTGGTTGGGTACTGCCAATTCCGCTTAATCATTACTATGCAATGAAACTTTTATACTGCCATACTGTCATATTTTAGTTTCAATAGTTTCCCTCACATGCTTAAACACCTAAAAAGGCAGCAGATAGATTTCTCATGCCATGCCATGCCTTGCCTGAGACGGGTAGGTTCTGTTTGGGTTCTTTTATGGATGAATTATCATGGCTAAAGCAAAGTCATTTCTGTCTTGAGTTAAATTTTTAATCCGTGACCAAAATGGCAATGTTTAACCATTAATAAATAATCAATTGAGAACCCTGTCAAGCCATTCCCATTAATCAAATCAGCTTTGCAGCCTCTGCATGAACAGAAAAGTGAAGGCTAATAGTTCCTACAGCCCATGTTCATCTCTAGATTAGTACTCACCCAGTTTTCGTACATCCTTAAATCTGTTCCTCTGTTTTCATGTTGAGATTGATCGATGAAGTTTCCTGTCCCTTTTCCCCTCAAATGTCATTGACAATTCTTTTGAGTTTTGTATTATTGGTGTGGCTTATCTAGCTTTCTGTTAATCTGACATATGGACGCATTCTCACATATATGATATGTATCAAGCTCCTGTACTGTGAAATGGGAAAACACACATTAGGTTCACATGTATTATTTTATTCCTGTAAATTAGATCTATTGTTGATGCTTTGATGGCATGTGCTAGACACTCCATGTGTTGGATGGCATGCACTTCTGGAGCAGCGGATTGCCATATTTGCAAGGCACTTTATAGAAAGCCAAGGTGCTAGGCACCAGCTTCCCCCCATTAGGCACCTTATAGAACACTGTCTGGGTTTGACACTTTGACCCCTTCCCCCCTCCTCTCCAGAAACAATCTGAAAATGTACCCCTTCCCCACAGAATCTAAATCAACACTTAATATTGTACCTCCTATTAGTAAGTCAACTCTACACACCATCATATTATGCAGTAATTCTTTTCTTACAAAATCTAAATGCTTAACTGCACATATTCCTCCTAATAATTAGTCAACTCTGTACTTGTATCATTTTTTGTGATAATCGTAGAACAGATTGTTCTTCAACTTTAGGTTAGAAGTTTCCTACACTCAGGAGTCAGGTTTTGAAATGGCCTGCAAACACTAAGATGCCTTATACAATACAAGTCTCAGGGAAGATTGACATAGTAGCTGAATATTAAAAGGGTCCATTTCCTGTGGTTGAAACTTGAGTATTGCTCCTTTAACAATCACAATAAAGCCAAACTTTTCAGATGTGAGATGGTAATGTAAATGATTGGTCAAATTAGCCAAAACATATGTTTAGAAAATGGCGTGGTGAATCAGTTTATGCATCCAAAAAGAAAGAAATACGGCTGAATTGTGTAGTAGTTAATCTCCAGATTTTACAAGTGTAATTACAATTGTTATGCCCATCTGATGGATTTTTTTAATGTTGCAGTATCTTATTACTCATTTTAGTGACTTTCAATTGGCTTGCCTTGGTAGTTTCTTTCTTCATGAAAGTGTCTTCTTCTTGTCCGGGCTTCCCTTCATATTATTTGAAAGGGCTGGATGGCTGAGCAAGTACAAGATCCAGGTATGAATCTCTGAAGTCTTATTGTGCTTAAACTGAACAAGAGGTACTCTTCATTTTCTAATATATTGCACCTAAGTGCATTCTTTTAATTCCTTTTGATGCTAGAAGTTGCCAATGAAAAGGTTAAAATGGGTTCATGAAAAAAGAATCTTTTTGTATCATGTGGAAATCAATTGTGGGTTTAGTTGGCATTGCCAAAAAAGATTTTGAAAGCTAGTTCTAAACAGTTTAGTGATGATAGAATTTAACCATTGCTCCAATTTGGCAATTTCCATTTGTTTTTGCATTTGGTACTAGGTTGTAAGCGTAGAATGGTCTTCTTATGCTCTAAGCATTAATAGGTGGTTTCCAAAAGTGGCAGTATGACATGTGTACAAATCTTCACGTGTAGCATGGCCTCCTCAAAATTACAATTTTCAATTACCGAAAACAGACATCCTTTTAGACAACCTTTTTAGATTTCAGATATTCCAATGAAAATAGACATTTCTATCAATTACTGAAACAGATATTTCCAATAACACTTTAGTTTTGGGTTTGCAGATGCATTAGACATAAATGGTCCCATTTAGTATATCCTGATTTTCATCAACTTTTATGGTTGGGTTTTTATTTGTTACAGACAAAGCACAACACACCGGCAGCTCAAGAAAAATGTATCACTCGCTTGGTTCTGTATCACTTTGGGGTTAATCTCCCAGTAATGATTTTATCCTACCCTGTCTTTAGATACATGGGGATGCGAAGTAGCCTTCCTTTGCCATCCTGGTATTTTCAGGTTCTTTATATACTTAGCTTAGTTGAATAACTTGAATAGATAGATTTGGGCATTTTTTTATTTTTCTTGTCGCCTGATGGTAGAATGATACCAATCTACCGGTTATTCCAGTTGCTTATACCCCTCATCTTCCCTTCATCCCTCCTGTTTTATTTTTCTACACCACAGAGACAAAAGCACACATATAATGTTTTCTTTAATTTGGTGTGTGTGTGGGGAGGTGAGCTTTTTAGGGATGAACTTTGGTACAATTTTTCCCCCGCAGGACGTGGAGTTTTATCGGGATGAACATTGATACAATTTTTTTCCCCGCAGGAAGGTGATTTTAACTCAAATATTATTCTACTTTATACTGGAAGACTTTGTGTTCTATTGGGGACATAGGATTCTGCATACAAAATGGCTATACAAGCATGTCCACAGTGTCCATCACGAGTAAGTAAATGATACTCATATCAGTTTATTTTGTCATGATTATTACTCCTTCTCTATTTATTTGACCATCCACTTTTTATGTTTTTGGTAATCCTTTTCATCAGCCCATTTATTAGAACAACAGATCATTAATTACATATTTCCTAGTTTGTCCTTCAAAATTAAATATGCAACAAACCGGAAAATATTCCGTGTTAATAAATGTCAGTGAATTCATAAATGAAGGTAAATTTTTTAATTAGTATGTTTTGGATGTAGTGGACAGATATTCTCGGAGCTCTTAGATAATTATCCATAACGTAAAATTGGGGGTTTAAGATTCAGATTCCCTCACAAATTGAAGGAGTATTATGGTTCACGTTTTGATCAGTGAGTTAATCTCTCCTGTAGGTATGCAACACCATTTGGATTGACTTCTGAATATGCTCACCCCGCTGAAATTCTCTTTCTTGGATTTGCAACAATAATTGGTCCGGCAATCACTGGCCCTCATCTCATCACACTATGGCTGTGGATGGTACTTAGAGTCATTGAAACAGTTGAGGCACATTGTGGTTATCATTTCCCATGGAGTCTCTCTAATCTCTTGCCTTTATATGGCGGGTTTGTATCTTAGCACACATTTTCTTAATACACTCTCTATTAGCAGTATACTTCAAATATGTCCTTCGGTTGTCAGGGCTGATTTTCACGACTATCATCATCGACTGCTGTATACGAAGTCTGGGAACTACTCATCAACATTTGTTTATATGGACTGGTAATGATCTTTTCACCAATATGCTTGTGTGACAATTAACTTTCAGATAAGTCTTGTCTTCTCTTTGTTTGGTCTTTGTATTTTAAGCTGAGTACAAGCTATAGGGGAAAGGGTAATGCTTAAGTGCGCTGTTCTGGTGTGCTGTAATCAGACCAATTAACCAGTGGCCGTTTTCCTTTGGGTCTGTATGGAACTGGGGAAAGAAAATAAGGGTGAAAATGCAAAAAAATCTGGAAGGAAAGAAATTTTTGGAGAAACTAAAAGATAAGCTCACACTTATCTTTTATGTAAAATAAAATAAAATAAAAGTTGTGTATTTCATTTTTCTCTGCATTTTACAAGGTAAAACCGTAAAACCAATCATAAGATAACTTTCCATAGGATTTGTTTTCCTTTCCCTAGCTTTTTATGTAGTCCAAACATACCCGCTTAGATGCCATGCCTTCTATTTGCTGGCTATGCCTTGTCCTAGATTCATTCGGCATATGCTTTGTCTTACCGCACCCAAACCTTGCCTAGGTGCTTTCATATTTACTGCATCCCTACGCTTAACACTTACCGTGACGTTATAGAGCCATTTCTGAACTAGAAATATGTCAGGGACAGAATTTTGGGGAAATACATTTAGAAAACTGGAACTAATAAAGGGGGGGGGGATAAACCATTGGTTCAAGCTCAATATATCTCATTTTATTTGTTTTTTATCATATAAAGAATCAAAGACTAAGAAGTATAAAAGCATATGTAATATGTCATCATCATTATCATTACCCCAGTGCCGCAAAGGCTTTCTCACCCTCATTAGGGTGAGGGAGGGGGGTTGTACGCAGTCTTACCCCTGTACTAAAGCTACCCCTGTACTAAAGCACAGAGAGACTGATTCCAGATGGCCCATAGAGAAAATCACGTCCAAAATTGAATGGACTGACTGCTGCTTTATAACAAAGAAGCGCAAAGAGTTTAGTGAGCCATTTTGCTTTATTCCATCATATTCTCAAACCAAAAAATGGTGAATCTTTGACTCCTTTGCAAATGGTGGAAAAAAGCATATTTAATATGTAAGAGCTTCAAAAGCATTAATCATATTTTACTTTTCCTTTCATTAGTTGAAATAAAATCAAACACGGGAAAATTCCATAGCATCTTTTTTTTTATTACTCCAGGGGGGTCTGGGGGAGCGGGGCTGGGGGGAGCCTGGAGTAATAGGGACTGAAATTCACTCCATTGAGTTTCAACCTCCTATGTGCCTAGCGGGTTTCGAACTCGTGACCTCTTACTAGGCACAGTAACATCGCATCATTTCTCCATTTACCAGCATTTTCCAGGATCTAGACAATCGCATAGAGTTCATTGATTGAGAGTTAAACCATCTTGCCTGAAAATATATGGATTTGCTTAGTTTACTGTTTTTTTTTGTCAGGGTATTTGGGACTGACAAGGGTTACAGAAAATTGAAGGCCCTTAAGAACGGTGCAAGTGAAGCAGAGTGCAAAAAGATGTAAGATGAACAAAGTATGCAACTCTGTACATTTACTCGAATGCATCTTGTGCGCTACTGTACTCTTTTGTGCCAGTTCATGTTTTTAACGTAAAAAGCCGTTTGAGCTCTGTTTTTTATTCAATCTTTTCCCCATTCCCACCTTGTATATGGATGGATGTTCAGTTTTATCCTATCTCTTCTTTGCTCGATCTCCCCTTTAACTTTCAATATTTGTGACTGTGGAATGACACATTATTTGGAGTTCTCCTGTGATCAATTCTGCTCCCATTGTGGTTTCTGAAGGAACCTTCAGATTCCCTACAAAGAATTTTAGTGTCTGATATGCTTTCCATTGTGAAATTTCTTGTGGGATGCCATATTTGTAGGTCTAGTTTGGTATTTATTTTTTATCATAGTGTTTGATTTCTATTATAATGCAGAGATGCATGGTAATCCATAAGTGCTGTTTGGTTTCTGTTTTGAAGCATCTCTCGCAAATTATGCTGCCCCCACCTAAAAACGACGTGATTTTATTTAGGAAAAATTCACACCATTAATCCTAACTATTAGGGTTCTTCCAACAATAATCCCAAATATAAGTAATTCCAATATAGTCCAATTTATAAGGGCTATTTTCTCAAAATGAACTAGTAACCTGATTGAATTCGGTCATCAAGTTACCTGCCCATGTGTCTTATTCTTATTGGCCTTATACATTTTTACTTTTTTTTTGTTTTAATTTCTTTTCTGTTTATTAATTTCCTTTTCAAAAAACGCAGCTCCTCAATAGTCAATCCCTCCTCTCGATCTTCTGATCAGCTCGCTGCTTGTAGCTCTGTCTCCTGCTTTTTTCTTCCGATTTCTCACTCCTCCCCACCTTATTCTTACGTGATCCATCAAGGTATTCATGGATTTCTGGCATAGAAATTTAATCAACACTCTCCTGTCTCCTCCACCTACTTGGTCTTTGATGCCGGCCCTTCATCCATCCCAGCATCGCCATTCTTCAGTTCATCCCAACTGGCCTAGTCTCCATGATTCCTCCATGATTCTTAGGTCGATTGTCATTCAATTTTTGTCATTGTCCATGATGAACCATGTCAAATTTGAGTTTGGATTGCCGAAATTAGCTTTTCCAAATCTGAAATTGAAAGAAAGAATTACAAATTTGAGAATGGCCGAAAACCTAAATTAAAAAATGAAGTTGAAGTTGCGGTATAGAGAGAAAAAGAAAAGAATAGAGTACCAATCCATGGGTAGCGCAGACCCGGATCCAGAAACCATGTCTACAATCCTTGTAGACATTTGAACAACTTGAACAACTCTTTTTTCCTCTTGAGTGTGATGCCCGTCGATTGCATTTGAATGGAATAATAAATAAAGTAGAAATGGGAAAGAAGGAAAGTGAAAAGAACACGGAAAAGAAAAGCGGGGGGGGGGGGGGGGGGGGGGGTGACCAGAGGCAAAGGCGTAGAATTGCTTGAGTCACTACTCTATCCGATTACATTTCATCCTTTTTTCTTTTTTCTTTCTTTTTGATTTTTTTCCTATTTAGTAAGTAGCAAGTCACCTAGGATCAATAGGAGAAGATTACCCATAAATTTTGGATTATTTTGGAATTACACATACTTGGGATTAATATGAGAAGAGTTTGGATTATTGGTGTGAATTTTTCCTTTTATTTAAAAAAGCTGCACTCCTTTTTCCTTCCTCTTTCTTCTTTCTTGCGATGGTTTTCTCCTGTAACCTTTTTATTTCTTTTTACTAATTTTCTTTTTCTTCAATTCTCTTTCTCTTTTCTCCATCAAAATATTAAAAATTCAATCGTTTGATTTTAATAAGGTTTTTTAATTTCACTTTTCTATGTCTACACTTTAAATTACAAATGAATCTAGGTTTTTTTCTTTATCACAAAAATTATGGAATTAAAATTTAAATAAAATAAGTATTATTGTATTTCATATTAATACACTTTTCTCTTTAATATTTTTTAAATTTACACTTTTTTATAACATGTTTTTTCATATTCATACACTTTGTATGGGAGAAGATCACGTGAAAAGCCTCTTAGGCTAACAAGTGCGTAGTTAAAGTCAAACCATTAGACACAATGACATACTACGTATAACATAAAACACAAATAATAACTTTTAAGTCTTGCAATGAAATTAAACCAAAATTATAATTTTAGAGGGGTAAATTGAATAAGTATGAAACTACAATGAAAAAGACTAGTAACAGTTGAAAAATACATTCAAAAAAGTATTAATCAAATACTACGCACATATTTATTTTACATATCAAATACTCCCTCCGTTTCACAAAGAAAGTCACGGTTTGACTTCTCTAGGATTAAGGAAATAAATTGATTTTACTTTAGAAAACTTGGCACTGTTTAGACACTGTTTGACACTGTTTGACACTGTTTGGATGTAGAATTCTTTGCCAAATAAGGAAATAAGGGAAGTATGACTTTGTTTTGGAAACATCCAAAAAAGGAAAGTGTGACTTTGTTTGTGAAACGGAGGGAGTACTTTTTAGTTTTACTTTAACCGCTCAATTTTTTCAAAAAATATATGTTTATATCTTTTATATATTTTAGTTGGTTTTTCAAAATCATAGAAACAATTACTCCGTACAATAGTACTCTAGAAAAATCTCAATATTTAAAAACTTTTTTCATAAAATTTTCAATCACTCTTAATTGTTATGTGCAACCGAAATAAGATAATGAATTTTTTTAGAGCTCACATTACTTATATTATAAACAAAATAAAAACAAAGCATATCAATTTAAATTTTATTCTCAGGGCTAAAATAATTATATCATGAGATAGTAACAGATACGATAGTATTTGATTAAAATAATGGTAATGGATAAGATGTGAATCTTTATAATTTATGGCTAATTATAATTAGCGACTTCAATAATGTTTTAATGTAGATTGTAGTAACTATATTGATATATTTACAGTAAGTCTTATATTTGTCTTATATATTTATAGTGACATCAAGTAGTACTGAAGTGGAGTAATACTTATGAATCAACCTCGAAGCGCAACAATATCTGAGGAACCCAATTCTATTTCAAAACAGATGTTTCATTTTGATATCCAAGCAGCATGCGCCAATATTCAACATACTCTTTCTACATAGAGACAACCTAGACTGCCTTTGATACTGGCCTACTCAGATGTCTCGGACAGTTATGATCCCTTTGACGACTCATTCTTCTCATATGACTTTCTAGGATATGCAACGGAAAGCGACCGTCGCCCAACTATTTCAAATCAGGAAGATATTCGAGACTCCAGATTCAACAAAGCTAATTCTTATATATATATATATATATATATATATATATATATATATATATATGCATACATACATACATACATACATACATACATATACATATATATAATTCATCACTTCGGATAACTGACTTCCAACGGACAACTTGAATACACAATTGAAAATTTACAAGAAGTCTTAGAAGAATAAAAGACGACATAGTATGAGGACTAGATCCCGATCCAAAAAAAAACTCTGGGATTAGCTTGGTTTTTCTTAATGTTCTGTACCATTTTCATTTTTGCATTGTATTCTTTTCTTATCAATAAAATTAACTTTCTTAAAAAAAACCTCGAATAGAACTTGTGATGTTATTCCATTGTACTTATGTCATGTCATCAATTTAAATAAGGGGAAAGGCACAAATACACCTTTAAAAGTGTGTGTATGAGTGTATCAACTTTGCGACAGGTTCAGCTAATTTAATGAGTATATCAAACGGGCTCTTAGTAAACCTGATTTATGCCTTTTATTTATATGGACATGGAGTATGACTCTTTGAGAGAATCTCCAATGCTACAATGTGCACAGTACATATGTGACATGAGAGATATAGACACAAAAAATTAAATTTATGACATTTCTTTTTTCCTTTCCACGATTTTATGTATATTTGGTAAGTTTTCTCAGTAATGCCAACTACAGTGTCTACATCTAGACATTGTGCTTGAGATTGTGAAGAAAAACTTATCAAAACGTATAAAAAACCGTTCAAATAAGGAGATCAATATTCTATTTGTTTTTTTAATTGGCTATCTCACATGCCACATATGCACCATTGACGTTTTTGCATTGAAATAAAGAGAGCAATATTCGATTTGTTTTTTTAATTGGCTATCTCACCTGCCACATACGCTCTTGAATGAGATTGTCTCTACTCAAAAGTAGGCGTAGTTATTTTAATATGCATAAAAGGAAGAGAAGGTATATGAATCAACCTATTAAGGAATAATCTAAATTCTTCAAATGTTTTAAATGAATTAATTTTAACTATTCAACACGTCAGCGTACTTTTGAGTGTGCTTCATGTATTATTATTTCATAAAAGCTTGAAGATATTTTGAAGTGGATATACTCCGTGTAAGTGTATTTCAAATATACGGAGTAATTTTTAACGGATGTTAATTTAATGGTGGACCAATTTTAGCTAGTGTCTATACGGAGTATATTAACCTATTTAATTTAATTTTTAACTATTACTCAGTATTGACTAAGCAAGTTTTCCCTTAAATGTCTCCTTTTTATTAGGATCACCAACGGAACACTTCTAATACGGAGTATTTACGTATACATGGAGTTCGAATAATATAGGTCTCCTTTTCTCTATTCAAGCCTCCTTCAGATTCTTGGATTACAAATTTAATTATAATTTCGTTAGTTCTGTTTAACGGTATATCGCCCAAGAGCTCGTTATATCTTGAGGAAGTTTTCACTATACATTCTCTTGATGAAAACGTTGATGTGTCTCGAGCTATATATGATTTTTTGCTAAAATTATTTTGCGTTTTTTTTTGTTCGTGATTTCTACAACAGGAAAGCAAAGCTGTTACAAATATGCTGCTGCAGGCCGGGAACAAGAATCTGCCGTTGCAAAGGTCAATGGATGCAGCGAGACACAAACCAATGGTTAATTTACCAGTGCACTGGTTATATGTGTTTCAATGGAAGGTGAAAATTTTCCTATGTAGCAAAACCATGTTCATAAAACAGTCAGCTTACGATAATATTTCCGACCTCCAACCACCCTAACCTCCGACAAAGATCATTACCAAACGCCTCCTGTGAAAGCCTCAACATATCCCCACGTAAGTTATCCTGTTTTTGTCAGTTGTCATGGAAAATACGTAGTATGTATGTTCTGCTTAGTGGTGGACTAGGGCTGGGTAGCCCGGCCCGAAACCGGACCCGGCCCGGTACTATTACTCTATTAGGCCCGGCCAGGATCTCAAGAATGCAAGGGAAATGAAAGAAAATACCGAGGAAAGCTATTTTCTTATGTTTAGATTTACCTCAAAATTAGTGATGGACCCGAGTCCGGGTCGGGCCTAGACAAGGCCGGGTCTGGATGGCAATGGTTTAGGCCCAGGACCGGCCCGGTTGTCTACCGGTTCCGGGCCAGGCCCAACTATTTTTTTTTGTTTTCTTGATTATTTCATCCCCTACCCCCCACCCCCTCATCCCCCAAACCCATCGGACCCAGCCCAAACAAAATAAATAAATAAATAAGTAAGTAAGTAAGTAAGTAAGTAAGTAAGTAAATAAATAAATAAATAAATAAATAAATAAATAAATAAATAAATAAATAAATAAATAAATAAATAAATAAATAAATAAATAAATAAATAAAAAAGCCCGAACCGGGCTGGGCCAGTTCACATTTAATCAATCCCGGAACCGCCCCAGTTTCATCCTTAAACCGTTCCTAGACCCGGAACCGGGCCGGTTCGCAGGTCAGGTGGCCCGCACCGAGTCCAACACTACTCAAAATATGCGTTTTGAAACATGACTAGGCACTTGTTAATTTTTTTACATGCGCTTTCAATGCCTAGTCTTTAATATTTATAGAATAGATACAAGTCCTATGCTTCCAGCTTCCCCCCTATTTTCAATCCTTAACAATTTTATCTTTCAAACAGAGCAGTAAGAATAAACAAAAGATTTACAGAATTACATCCAGCGATAAAAATAACAACGCTATAGAAGCCATTACAACAAATTAGTAGCTAACTTGATACAACATCCAAAATACACTGGTTTAAAGTAATATCCAGAATTGCTTTGAAATCAACTACTAGTACAATACATTCTACACAAAGCAGTTATGCATGAGAGAGAGAGGAGTCATTATCTTAACATACAAGAAGATTTTTTTATAGAGAGGCATCTTCCCTGTTTAAAATTTATTTGATGGTGATGTAGCGGTTGGTTCCATGCTTAGCCCAATGCTCCTTGAGGTCAACCGGGTTTGACAGATCATGACCCTCCGCAGCAAGACGGCTTATCAGCTTATTAAACGCACTCCCACTCATCTTCCTTCCACCAATCCGGGCATGGCGCTTGTTAGGAACAGTAGGAAGAGGATACATCGACAGATTGGTCGTACAGCAAGATGACTGCCAACCACCATTACCCCATTTGTAACAAGGCCTTAAAACTCCTGTACACGAACAAACAGGGACCGGCATAATCGTTTCGTCAAAGGCAACCTGGTTCAAACCCAAGTCCTGGTCCTTCCAATCTGGAGGTTTCGACACAACCACCAAATGTTGTCTGTTATTAAGCTCATCATCTTCCTTCTTAACTCTCTTTGATGGTTTTGAAGTTTTTTTACTGTTGGATGACGTGGCGGCGGGTTTCGGTTCTTTAGCACGCTTGTTCTGGCGAGCCACCTTTAGTGGGGGAGGAGAGGGCTCGGGAGCAGCCGGTGCCATTGGTATGACATCACTCATGTGTTGCATCATAATATCCCTAGAGTTATTATATGCTGCTGCAGCGGCTTCGATCATGTGGGGGTGATGATGGTGGTGGGTGTGTTTCATTGAGTTCTCGTGATAGTGAAGAGTGGCGATGGCATTGTCACGTTCCATAATAGCATTATTACGTTCAGCTATGGCAGTGTCTCGTTGTAGAATGGCGGTGTCCCGTTCAGCCAGGGCAGCCTTTTTTTCGGAGAGGGCCAAGTTTCTCTCTTGTATGGCACCATCTCTTTCGGCCATGATCGCCATTATCTGCTTCATCGTCGGCTGATGATGCTGCATCAACCCCCACTGAAATAATAATGATGGAAGTTTAGTGTTCATAAAGATGTTAATTAGTAAACTTTTTTGGCAGTGAATGGGAAGAAGCCAATCGGCTGTATTTGATTAATTTTCTGACAGGAAGAGCATTAGGTGACATCCATTTCAGCCAAATAAGGGAGAAGGTGAAACCCTAGCCTATTTTGGTCTTCTATTCTTCTCTCAGATTCTCCATCCCAATAAGTTCTTGTGTTCATCAGTGACACACTTATAGGTACAGGTATTTTGCTTTCTTTTTTATTTCCGCTAATTCAGATCGTTAAGCTTTTCAAATTTCAATTATGGTATGGATGTCTGGTCTTATTCAGGAGCTTGGTTTTGGGGATTTGATTTGGTTCAGGATGGAATATTTACGAGTTGACTTAACTTTTTGCTTGGGGAGTAGATCTTGTTATGATTGATTCCATTTCAATAAAATGAAATACAATCAGTTGTATGTGTGTTTGGTAGCGTTGTTCTTCCAGTATAACTTATTTGTATAGTCCGTATATACAATTGAATCAACTTGCTTTTGAAATCTGGAAGTTTGCCTCCAAAGCAAATCATAATAGAACCAAACAGCTTTTATAAAGTAACAAGACTATCAATCTTTGTTTTTTTAGCTACTCTGATCCAAAAGCAAATTTATAATCCAACATTTAATGGAATGATATGAAGTGTTTTGCGCGGAACAGTTCTCTTTCATTTGTGTTTGTTGCAGATCTGCATTCACTGTTTTTTTAATGTTGCTTTAGTTCATTGCCTACAAGTGAAGTAATATTTAAGGGTTCACCAACCCACAATTTTATTACATTTCCTGACTTTTGATTTTGCTCACTTGCATTCTTTATTTTTATATCTGAAAGGGGGAGTTGTGTGGCTGCAACAGTATGACTATCTCTCTGTAGCACAACACACAAAAGATATCATTACTTGAGTTTTGAATTGTGACTCATTTACATTCATAATTAGATCATAACTATAAATATTAATTTTGAATTGAACTCACCATATTTTTAATCTATTTTGTTAAGCTTTCAGTTTTCAATATTGAACTTTAATGCTTGAAATGGTTGTTCATACCGATTGTTAGTATATGCAAACCTATAATGACATTGAGGCTTTTTTTGGCTAAACATCAAATCTTTTGGCAAACTAAACTAAACCTTAGACCGGCAAGTTTTCATCTTCGTTTAGGTTTACCTGGCCCTGAGGTAGTTTGTGCCTGCCGTTCTCACAGTGTCCACCATCATCCATCTATAAAACAAAATTCAGAGTATAAATCACAACATGTGTCAGTATAAATCACAACTTGTGCTGTCAATTTAATATATCACCAATGCTGTGGGCAAATATATACTCAACCAATAAAACTGAATTTGTAAGCACTTCACTGTTAGTTAAATTATAGGAGTATTACATACAATAATTAAAAGTTGAGATATCAATCATCATTGTATAAAAGCAAAGTGTTTTGCGAACAGTATTCCCACCCAAACATCCCCATTATATTACATCAGTGGAGACTTTTATCATAAAGAATTAAAATTTAAAAATAAAGACAACAGTAGAAACATTGATGAAAGTTAATCAAAGAACACACTATAAACAACCCCAATCAAGTCCCGGCAGCCTGTTTCTTGGAGAATTTGTAAAAAATACAGTACATCAAATCTAGCCAGCCTATTCATTGGGATGGGTGTATTTTCAGCCAATAAAATCTCAACAGCCTGTTCATCGGGACATGTGTATTTTTACCCATTCAAATCACGCCAACCTGTTCTGGACATGTGTATTTTCTCTACGAAAAGATAATTCATTTTCCTATCACTACTACTCGCTAGCAAACACTTTCCGAATGAATACAACTCAACCCTTCTACCTCTTCTCATCCTCTCTTTCATTCTCAGTCTGCAATATGAAAAATATCATCTTATGTGTGAGTGATGTGTAAACCTATTATTTTATTAGCTAATACAAACAAAAGAGTACTTTTACTATAATGAATGATTTTTAGATGTTTCAAGTTATGGATAAAGAACTACTTTTGATTGAATGTTAAAGAAATGGTTAAACTAACTAAATCCACAGCTAAGAGAAGCTTAGTTTCTGACTTTCCGTCTTGGGTGAGGCCACTGTGAGGGTAATTATTATTTTAGTTCTATAGATTAAAATTTGTCTTTAATGTATAGCAATAAGCAATGCATACATACAAACTTACAAAGTTTAACTTATACATGTATTAGAAAATTAACTCGATTCATGGATGATTTTTATTTCACTGAGAAGGCATATATATATATATGTATATATATATATATATATATATATATATATATATAGAACGATTTGGAGGTAAAATATTTTGATAACAATCCTGCAGAAGGCATGTTTTGAGAAATAGAATACAAAATTAACATTAAAAAAACGGAGTATAGTTTGAGTGGGCTGAATTTTCAAAAAAGATTACAGCAAGATTTAGTACTATTTCCACTTAGAGTTAGTTCATGTGTGTACAATAAGGAGAGTAAAGTTAATTAGACAGGTTTGCTGCTTAATTATAGAATAATCATACTCTGTATATATTGTTTATGTTAGTTTTTTTCAATAGTTATGGTAAAACGGTTAATTCAGTTGAAATGTATTTTTAGTGAGAATGGGATGTAAAGAATAACAGTCTGTTTGATTTAGGGTGATAAAAATTCAACAACTAAGTGACTAACATATACTTCAGGGGGGTTCAATACTGTTTTGATTTAAGCGTTCAGTCATATTAGATAATTACTATTGCTCTTAATTGCAGGAAATCCAGTTTTAATTAAAAAAAAAGGATAAATAGTTAGTTCACATGAGAAAAGTAAGAACGGATTGTTAAGGAATAACAATCTATTTGAGTATCTAGTTTAAGTCAAACACAGTAAACATATTATCAAAACTTAACTTTAGTAGTTTAGTGGCCGTTAAGGAGTTCGTGAGTAAGAATCCTTGCTCGATATTATCAAAGAAGAATGGAAAATGAAATCAGTGCCAGACCTTTGGGTTTTATACTTTTAGCATAGATTGGCAAGAAACATAAACATGCACTTAACGAATAAATTCATATGAAAACCTACCGATCTGGAGATTTCGCTACTCGACCAATGGAAGATCTTCGGTACTTCGCTTCTTTCAGTTGTAGATCGACGAACGCGATTTAATAGCAGATGAGATCTGCTTATCTAGTTAGCAAGGCTGGCGGGGTATCCATGGAAGCGGGTATAAAATCTCTGCCGGTGGGGGATCGGAGGTGGGTGGCGATAGTAGATCGAAGGAAATGATATCGGTGTAAACACAGAAGGAGAGTGGCAGGTCGGCTGAGGTGTAGTATATTGGGTTGGGTTATTTATTGGGCCTTATAGTAGGTTATTAAATGGACTGAACAAAATAATACACCCAAATCAAGTATTTTTGGACTACTAAAAGAATTTTAAATAAAAAAACATGTTTACTTTAAGTATATCACATATGAACTGTGATAAATTTATAGGATAAATATATGGGAAAACAGACAAATTAGTGCACGTACTATCTTGAAAAAGTCAATTGAGTCCATGTACTATTTTATAGTTCCAAAAGGTTGAATCGCCAACCCCAAGCGCCCCCCACGCCCCGACCCGACAAAGCACATGGGAGGATGTAAGTCACGGTGACTCAGTCAGCAGAGTGGCAGTAGGCCTTTACCCCGTGCGCACCAGAGGCCCAGCCTTATTTCAGGTTCTGTGACCTCCACCCGGTCGCTGCGGGGATTCGAACCTTGGTCATAGTTCCAATTTTCCCACCACTCGACCAGCTGAGCTACCCGTGCGGGTCCATGTACTATTTTATCAATCAATTGGGTATACATAGTCTCAAATTTCAACCAATTTTGCCATTTGGCCGGTAAACAATCAGTTACCCTATTTTTTTGCTGACATGGATCGGTGGATGCCAATTAAGCTTTTTCACACTTTTTTTTTCTTTTCCCTTCTTTTGCCTTTTAATTTTCTTTCTTCTTCCTTTTTTTTCCCTCTGATTCGTCACCCCCATCGCCCCCCCCCCCCAAATTCATATGCCGCCTGCAACTCCCTCCCTTCTTCCTTCCCCGTTTTTTCTTCTTCCTTTTCCCCCTTCTTCTCCAATCTCCCTGCAACTCCCTCTCCCCTATTCTTCAATCTCTCTTTCTTCTCCACTTCCTTTTCCCCCTTCTTCTCCCTGCAACTCCCTCTCCCCGATTCTTCAATCTCTCTTTCTTCTCCACTGCTTCTACCCCACGCCCCCACCCAATTCAACCTCCCCCTCCCCTCATTCTTGCAATCTTACCCACCCCCTTCTCCTTTCCCTTTTCTTTCCTTTTCCTCTTCCTTTTTCTCTTCTTCTCAGCTCCACTTCATTTAATCCGGCCACTCAACCTTCTATCCTCTTCTTTCATGCCTAGAGAAGGAAACCTGACAGAAACCCAGCGAAAACCATTGCTACTCTTAGATGGAAACCAGACGGCGACGGAGAAGATGGCGGCACAGCTCGACACCGACGGTGACGCCGGAGGCAGAGCTCGACACCGACGGTGACGCCGGCGCAGAGCTCGAAGGGGTTTGCATCAGAGGTAGACGGCGGTAGAAAGATGGAGACGTAGAAAAGGGAAAAGGGAAGAAGCAAGAAAAAAGAGAAGAGAGGAAAGAAAAGAGAAATCAGAAGAAAGAGATGAAGAGAATAAGAAAAGAAGAAATGGGGCCATGGGGGAGAAAGAAGAAGTGTTCAGGAAGAAGAAGAAAGATTTTTTTTTAAGGAAAAGGAGGTCTAATGCCACATGGATGCCAAATCACGGCTTACAAGGAAAAAATGCTACGTGGATGATCCATGTAGGAAGGTTACCAAGGATACCGGTCAGTTGGCAAAATATACTGTACACCCGGCTGTACCGTGTCACTTGGTATAGCCAGGTATTATTGTAATTAGTTGCAAACAAGGGGTTATTAATTACGGAGAAGGATATATGCTTCTTTAATTTTCTTCCGTTGCTCCTCGGCCAGGCACTCTCGATCTTTGGAATTCTGATTTGCTCTTCCAACTTCCAACTTTCTTTATCTAATTATCTTCTTCGATGCTTCATCTCATTTTTTTTCCTATTTTTGTTTGCTTCTATTTTTTCTTGTATTCTTTTCTTTTAATTTTAACTTTTCTTTGTCTTTTTTCTTTTCCATTAATTTTGAACTTTAATTTTACTAATTTAACTTTTCTTTTTCTTTTTTCTGCTTTTGTTTTTCCTTTTTATATATGCTTTTGTCTCTGCTACTCTAATTTTGAACTCCGATTTTTTATATAGAATTTTTTTACAAGAATTTTTTTCATGTAATTCTTTCAAATGTTCATGTCGAATGGAAATTCAATAAAACATATACTTCTCTCACTCTTCTATCAAAAGTTTTAACTTTTTGAATAATTATGAGTATATTATTTAAACTAAACGCGCATTTCTATAATTTTGAAAAATAAGCACAATAAAATTGATTGGTCTAAAATAAGGAATTGGTGCTTCTATATGTTATACTGAGATGATCATATACAAATTTATATTTGAGCATACTAGAGATTTTAAATGATGTTTTTAAATTTTTCGATGCTCATTTTATAAGTTATCTATGCTCATTTGCTATTAGTGCAGTGCTCATTTCAAATTAACATTATTACACCATACATTTTAAAATGTCATATCCATGCATATTAGTGTAATACTCATTTTAGATTTTTCGATGCTCATTTCATAGGTTATGTATTTTCATTTAATATTTGATCATACAAGAGATTTTAAATGATTTTTCTTATTTTTTCCAATACTCATTTCATCAGTATGTATGCTCATTCGATAATAGTGTACTACTCATTTTGTAAGTTACATATACTCAGTCAGTTTTGCATTTAGGGTGTAGGAGTCATTGGGAACGACACTGATGGATGTAATCACGTCAGCTTCTGTGGCTCCTGCAGCCACTTCATCACAATGAATTTTTGTTAAATTCACATGAGTATAACGCCTAACATGAATGTGCGGACACAAATAAGCTTTTTTTTTTATTTTTCGTTACTCATTTTGTAAGTTGTATATTTTAACATAAGACTTGATTATAGACACGAGAGAACAAATCATGATGCTCAACCGCATAATTCTAATACTCAATAAAGAAGATTTGATACTCAATTATGAACAAAAAGTGAATTAAAAGTTATGAAGCAGATATCACGATGTTCAACATTAGACTCATAATACTCAACAAGATAGGTTCGATGCTCATTAAAAGTTAATAAATGCTCATTTAACAGAAACAATGATTTTCATCTCAAGAGAGGAAGTTTGATGCTCAATGAAAGTGTCGTGATACTCAACTAACAAACCTGACAATTTTCATATCAATGCGCATTTGGTAAGTTTAACTTGCTCATATGATATTTTTGAAATATGCATTGATATGACATTTTAATAATGAGCATAACATCAGTACTAAATGAGCACACATAACTTACAAAGTGCACATTGATATGAAAATCGCAAGATTTGTTAGTTGAATATCACGACATTTTAATTGAACATCAAATATCCGCTATTGAGATGAAAATCACGGTTTTTGGTGAATGAGCATTAGTGAACTGTTAATGAGCATCAGACCCATTATGTTGAGTATTAAAAGTCTAATATTCAGAATCGTGGTCTCTGCTTCATAACTTCTAATTCACTTTCTTTTTGTTATTTTTCCTTTTATAAAAACTTATTAAACTAAGAAACTCCTATGAAATTCAATATGTGAACCTAATGTAAAATAGTACTTTAAAGCAAATGCATTGATATGACATTTACAAATGAGCATAAGATCAATATCGGATGAGCATACGTAACTTACAAAATAATTTGATATGAAAATCGCAGAGTTTGTTAGTTTGACATAACAACATATTCATTGAGCATCAAACCTCATCTATTGAGATGAAAATCAGAATTTTTATTAAATGAGCATTATTTAACGTTTAATGTGCATCAGACCTATTATGAGCATTAAAACACTTTCGATGAACATCAGACTTATTAGGAACCTAACAATATATAATAAAATTATAAATATATTCATATAAATTAATAGTATGATTCATAGGTCAAATAAATACTTCAAAAATATGAATTAGTCTTTTATTATAGTAATAATGAGCAAAAGCAAAAAATAGTTAATATTATAATTACTATTAATAAACAATTGTAGTATGGAGTATGAAAATATGTAGGATAAGGAAGATAAAAGAACGGATTTTAACAACAAAGCAAGCTAGCGAGATGGATGGAACGCTACATGCTATACTCCAGGTCTAGGGATCGAATCCCGCTTGAGTTTTACCTTTTTCAATGAAGGAATCCAGTTCTCAAGTCCGGGTTTGGTACTAAAGAACGGGTCTACCCGATTTTAAAAGTTGGATGTACGTACACCCGGGTGTACAGTACAAATTTGGTCATTTTTTGTAACTTGGTAGACTTAATTGGTTAAAAAAATAGTATGTGGACTCAATTGACTTTTTCGAGATAGTAGATGGACTGATTTGACAGTTTTCCCTAAATATATTGATATGTTTACATATATGTAATATTTGTATTACATATAGGGAAGAAACTTCTTATATGTTGATAGTAATTTAATTGTATTTGATGGAATTTACCTTTTAATGTATTTGTAGAAGAAGTATTACAAAACTCACTACATGCTTTCAAGAAATTTTATATTTTCTTTCTTATTTGTACCAAGTCTTTCACTCTAACTAATTCATAAATATCATGTATTTTCTCTCTTAAAATTCATAAATTTTAAGAGAACATCATTAGAACTTTCTTATAAAAAAAGATCAACAATATTTATAAGCCTAATAAGTTGTGATCCACGAGATCATCAAATTAAATTACAAAACCGGAAAATTTTTCACAACATTATTTGAAAATATTGATGTTTCAAATTTATCTTGTTGTTTGTTTGTAAACTATTCATATATTTAATGTACTTTTCCGTAATCATTTAGAAAACTTTTGAATGATTTAAGTTTGGGAAAATGGAAATAAATAATCCGACTTTTACCCGGTCTGCTTTAAACGATCCCTCCTTTTGATAATCCATAAAAAACTCAACCTTTGTATTAAATCTTCCTTCTTCGGTCCTGGGTCGTATTTACCGGTTGTTTAAGTTTTAAAATGAGCAATCACCGGTTATCTAATTTAAATAATTACTACGTATGTTATATCCGTGAATCCTCATCTCTCTTCCCTGTTTTTCTGTTCTTTCTCATCCTCTTCCTTCGTTCGCACAAGTTCGCACCAGTCCTTGGTCGTTTTTTTTTCTTTCTTCGTTCTCACCAGAAGCGTCTTCCTTCTTCTTGGTCGTCTTCCTGAGTTCGTCTGTGTAGACCTAATCTGAGTATTGAGTTGATTGATTTAAATTTGCTATTATTTGAGTATGAAACTGAAATAGTAGATGGTATCAACGCAGCAGCACCAGACTTTACAGCCCCTAAAGGAATTTCAGTATTGCTCTCAATGGGCTCTTTGGCTACCCCCAAAGCAGCACCCTGTATCTGCCCAGCACCAACGTCAATTGCAGCATCCACAAGCAGCCCGGCATTGTATATAATCTGCCCAACACATACCTTAGAATTTCCAGCGCCCACCAGCATCCCCCACCCTTTTCAGTTTGCCCGGAAGTGAGAGTATTTCCAGGCCGTACACTACCAGGAGCAGCAGTCCCTAGTTTGGCCGTACAAGCAGACCTCAAACCTTCAGAGTTTAGAGCAAGGAATTGCGGTTTATGTGTTTATGTCATTCGGGATGAAAATTGCGGTTTATGTTTTTATGTCACTTGGGATTAAAAAATTGTAGATACAAGAAGAACTTAAGTTGTAAAGTACAATAAAGACTAGCAGACCGACTAGAGAAGACATGACTACCTTAACAAATTCTTTTCTTTCATGGTATGGGAATGCTGGAGTAATAGCAGTAGGTTGGTTTGCTTATGCTGGAGTAATAGCAGTAGGTTCCAACTTCAAATTCAAAACTTGATAAGACACTCTTTGACAAACCTTTCTCACTTCTTATACTGAGAGCTTGCATTTCTTATTTTTATGTGGTTCAGGAAGAAAATTGCGGTTTCTTCAGGTGGGAAGAAGGTGTTAACACGCATTCATCACCTCAAATTGAAGATGTCAACGTCTTTAAGACACAGCCAATCACATTTGACATACAACTTGAAAAGAGGATGATGGAAGAAAAGATTAAGAAGCTGTGTTTCAAAAATCAAAGACTGAAAGGGGAAGTGCAACAACTGAAAAATGAAGTCTGTGAACTTCGTAGTGAAAAATTTAAGTGTTCAAGAATTTGGAAGAAGTATTCCCTGTGTCTAACAATTTCATTCTTCATGTTTTCCATTGTACTCTTGTTCTTGAAATAAATATGATTTCAATAGTTCAAGGATTTCTACCATTGTTTTTTCAGAATTTGGTTATGTAATTCTAGAATTTGTACCATTGTTTTTCTTAAATTTGGCAATGTAATTCCTGTACTACTATTTAATCCATCCTCTTTTACTTTAGCCAAATCTACAATGTACTCTATTAGCTATAGCTAACATGTTCTGTTTTCAATTGGTTCGGTTGAAATGTTGAATACATTTCTTCTGCCTACTAATAGCACCAAACAAAGAATGTTTTTGCAGATATGTTCCTATTTAAATGCAGTTTTGTAGTTTTGTTAAACCTTCCTCTGAGTCAATATGCATAACCACAATGACAATCAATTTAATGTGTTATTTTTTTTTTTAAAAAATATGAGTATCAAGTAAGATCAGTAAAAGAGAACATTAGTGTATATATCATGATAGCATATGCTCTGTGAAAAGTTGTTGGGCTTACACAAAATCCTTGAACACAAAGAAACCTAATAACCAAGGACAACATAAACATGACAACAAATGAAATGGGAGAAGAATTTCAACAAATTGGCTAGTAGAATGACTGCAGCCAAATGGCAAACCAATTAAGCATCATCTGTGAGCAGCCAAACTTCACCCTTGTGCTTACTGTTGCATCACTTGAAATCAGGCCATTAAGCATTCAATGAAACTGCTTGTATGATCGTAAACAACTAAACAAGATGTAATTAAAGTGGTGCTTGTAAGGAATTTTCTGTTAACCTTGTAATGAAACTGCTGCACACAAATTTGATAAAACATAACAACTATTCAAACAAAGGGGTCTACCACTTTTCATAAAATAATCACTGAATGATCATTAGAAAATACATTTCAAAACAGGGTAACCCAAAACTAAACTAGATCAGTACATCATAATTCCAAAATAAATCTCACAAGAGACAACCACACCATAAGTAACTACATATTACAAAATAAGACTACTACATGGTCACTACACAGATCTACTAATGACCCTATTACATAGATCTACACATGACCATATTCATTTCTAGCCCAAATCTGCCCGCTTTCCAATCACATCAGTCTTGGTCCTCCTGATTGACCTGGAGCCTGCACAAATAAATTTAGCATGAATAACAGAGCCATCGCACAGTACCAATAAGTTAGCAACTTAGCATGGATAACAAAGTCACTGCACCAATTGATTTGAAAAGGATACACATTCGTTTATGTTGCACCATTGGTATCAACATAAACACCAAACCCTTCCAGAATCGCAAACTCAAATTGATTTCGGCCATTATAACCTACAAAAGAATGATACTAACCAACTCTCAAAAAACTGTTTTAACATAAATGCAACTTTCACACACATACACCACTTAGGCATTTTATCAAACATATAATGTACACACAATGAAGAATAAGTTTGGCATCATATGAAAAGTATTTTTCATACCCGACACCCTTGATACAATTCATCAACTCAAATGGTAAAGGAAGATGTATTTCTTACTATATTTTTCATACCTTTAGTTTTGTAAGGATACCAATGGTTTGGACTTTGGAGTTTATGGAAATACCAGAGTTTGGAGTTTATGTGCAGGTCCCTTTAACATATACAGAGTTTGGAGTTTATGGTATCAATATAAACTCAATACCTTCAGTTTTTCATACCGCGTAATGTTCGTCGCTAAGACGCTAACCCTCCTTCATCTTCCAGCCGTGTTACACTTAGTCAATAAGTTTAAATCATGGTAATTTTTAATTAAGGTTAAAAACGGAGTATTTCTTTTTAGTTAAATGACCGTTGTTTAAAACGGGACAATTGTAGCCGGTTGCCAGTCAGCGGGGCTGAAGAATGAAGATTTAATACAAAGGTTGGGTTTTTATGGATTATCAAAAGAAGGGACTGTTGAAAGCAGATCAGGTAAAAGTCGGATTATTTATTTCCATTTTTCCTTTAAGTTTTATGGATTTGTAAAATGCTAAATTAAAAACTTCTATCACTTAAGATTTTGAAAAGTTAATTCGAAATTGGGAATTATGAATAAATTTGATATTTTCATAGAAGTTAAATAAAAAAGTGTTCAGTAATGCGGTGTTCGATAAAACTTTTCGCTAAAACAAAGAATCATCCTATCCTATCCTATCCTATATACCTAAAGGCAAAAACCATATCTTCCAAATTTTCCCGCCTCTCTCCCCACCTTAATATCTTCTCTAGGCCAAATTCATTTACTAGCTTCGGTTACCCACCATAAATCCCTCCCTTTTACTATACATTCTTCCTTAATCATGTGTGCGTTTCAATTCTGCAATTTTCCTTGCAATTAGCAAATCCTCCATTAATGTTTCCTTTAAGAACCGGCTAATCATACAATCCACCAAATTAGATCTACGGCTTTCATTCTTTTCTCTTCCTGCATCTCAAATCATTTTCCTTTACATCAGAAAATCCCTTTAGCTTATCATCTCTCTCACAGAAACCAAATAGCTTTCCTTTCGATCGGAAGAAGCATTCTTCATCTTCACAAGCTCCATCTCTAGCGATACCGATCCGAGCCTCTGAGACGCCCCTGCATTCAGCCTCGATGCCGCCTCTTTTGAAGACGCTTCCTGGACCATCTTCGTCACTCAGGGATGAGGTATTGTTCGTGGGATATGTTTTTATTAAATAATTTTATTCAATTTACTGAAAATAGGCTTTGATTTCACTCGAGCCATAGAGTACCATACTTCAATCTTAGTGTTTCTTTGGCTTGGGATACTTCAAAGAAACAGGTGTTTCTTAGAGTAATTCCGTTTTACTCCGTAATTATTTTCAATTTATCTTTCACAAAAGGAAAAGAAGGGTCAAATTTTGTGAACTACTTCGTATTTCCGTAATACTTTGTGCTTGATTAATATTAAAAGACAGGTGATGTGGAAAACAATTTTGGTCAATAAAGATTAAAAAGGCATGGAGAGGGTAAGTTACACATAACATGCAAAATAGAAAAGATCATATGTACCACCATATATGTACTCTTTATGTATCGGTTTATATTAATGCAAGCAACATGTTTTCTGTATGTTTATGTAACAGATAAAGAAATTCAAAGATGCAATTGCCAAATATGGGACATATAGTGGATCTGGCAATGTAGGACCTGTAAAGGGTCTGGAGGAGAAAGAAATTTTAGCACTAGCAGCCAACCGTGATCTCTCCTTCAATTACACTCGGAAACCGGAAGAACAAGCTCATGGAGTGTTTGCAACAGCTTCTGCTTAAAAAGGCACTTTTGGGGTGATTTGGAAAAAGTGATTAGTTGTAAAAGTTGACAGTGTTTGAGAAAAAAGTGATTTTGAAAAGTAAAAGTTGGTAGTGTTTGGTAAATTAAGTGCTTTTGGTGTATAAAAAGGGGAAAAGCACATTTGACACGAAAGCCGAGAAAAGTAAAAAATTGGTAGTGTTTGGTAAATAAGTGTTTTTTAAAGCCAAAAGCTGAGAAGTGCTTTTTTTAAAGCTGTTGCAAACCAGCCACTTTCTGCCCCATCACTAGCTGTGGTCTCCCAATTCCAATTTCCTTCTACTCCATTGATCAATCAACTCTCCAAAGGCACCAAGGATAGATATTTTGTTTCCTCCTCCAGTAGGTGATGATCAGAAGATTTTTTGGACACTTGTGTAAATATATATATATATATATATATATATATATAGAATAAAGATCAAATGAGAACGGTGCTTAACGTGAGAACCCGTGAGAACCCCTGAGAATGGTGATATTTTTGGCTGAAATTTTTTGTGTATGTTCCTCATCAAATCTAGTTCATCCATACCAAATTTGAACAAAAAATTCAATCGGGAAGGTCGTCAAATGATTTTTGAAAGAAAACTGGTCCGGAACATACATATAAAACGCAATTTTCTTTCAAAAAATCATTTGACGACCTTCCCAATTGATTTTTTTGCTCAAATTTGGTATGGATGAACTATACTTGATGAGGAACATACACAAAAAATTTCAGCTAAAAATACTACCGGTTCTAAAGGTTCTCATGAGTTCTCATTTTAAGAGGGGTTCTCACTAGAACCCTCCCCTATATATATATATATATATATATATATATATATATATATATATATATATATATATATATATATATAGGGGTGAGATCACATACTAACCATTCCTCCCATGCTAACCTACAAACTATCAAAAACGGTGCATCTTTACATTATTTGTACTGCATATTGAAGTTCAAAGTGTTGCATATTATTTGTACTGCATATTAAAGTTCAAAGTTTTGCATATTGTTTTTATTGCATATTGAAATTCACAGTGTGCATCTTTACATTATTTGTACTGCATATTGAAGTTCAATGTGTTGCATATTATTGAGTTAGTAAGTTAGTATTTTAAGCATGGTTAGTATGTGATCTCTTATCTATATATATATATATATATATATATATATAGAAGGATTAATTAATACTCCGTATGTAGCTTGGGGCATTGGATTTTTTTGTAACCAGTGGCTCCTCCCCTCCATTTACGATAGAGGTTAGGGGGATTTTGGCGGCTTTGAACCCCCATCCCTGCCCCCATCAGGAGGGTATATATTAATGCATTTATGTGCTGTTTCTATTCCCCCAGGTTTTTCTACCATTTTGCTTGTGGATATTAGCCAGCTGTGTATCAGATAAATTTACCTATGTATCTGCAGCATATGCCCTTATAAGACTATAATTAATGTTGCACTGTTTGGTCTACAAAGAGATGATATAATAATGCACTATTTTGAAGTGTATTACTAAATTTTCTAAATCTTCTTCAGTCAGTCAATACATTAAGACTTTTCTGATTTAGTCTAATCTTCACATTTTTATTCAAATGAGAATTCTTAAAAGTCCAGAATATGAAAACAGTTACTCATTTCCAATACACAAATTTATTCATGACAAATGAGAATTCTTAAAGAAAATTGTGAATTTCACATTTGTATGTGGTACTTATTTTTATTAGAACAATTTTGAAGTGCATTGTTAATATTGTTATCCTATTATAAGGAAAATTTTGGTATTAAAAAATGATATACTATGCATTTTCGGTAGTATACGTGAATGAACTATTTATGTGACAATAGAACTATGAATTCTCCATTTCTCCTTAAG